CTTGAATGAGATCGAGCACAACGGGAATCTCCTTCTAATCCTGTATAAGGCGGGATTCAGAACTTGTTCTCTGGCTTGAAATCTACACCGTACCGGGGCTAAGCGTTCTTCTCCGAATGACTGGCTTAGCCGCTAGCACTCGCGATTACCAACCCACACTCTGCGCTCCTCCAGACTTCTAATCCGCCAGCACGAGGAACCTGAGTAGTTGTATAGTTTGTCTCATTCAGGAACTACATGTACATGTATACTAGTGCTACGGAGCAGCAACGCAGCTTTCGCAATCCTGGATTGCTGGGAGGTTGTCGTTCGCCCCGCGAGCAGAACAAAGCGACACGGCGGCACGCAAATCCCTCCCGACCTTGATCTGGAAAACGGTGTACTCTGAAGCTAGCTTGCTCCGCTCTGCTTTTCATCTCGAAAGCTTGATTGTACATAGACTACACATAGCTGATATGCAGCTGGGCTTCTGAAATGGGAGACGTCTGGAGACAGAGATCAGCTAAGGTCCGGTGGCCGCAATCGACCAGGTACAGTAGCCCGGTATTGTACACAATCATACAATCACACTAGTCAGAACAACAGATGCCGAGATGGCTTGATCAGTCACAATTTAAAAAGTGTCATGCCATCTCAGGCACTCATCAGGTGATGTGAACCAATCATACAATCATGTAGACTACAGACGTGTCAGCGCTGCTCAGTGCTAGTGAAATCCGATCGAGCCAGTCACGTGATCACGCCTGGCGCTGTGCAGCCAGCCAGGCTGCCGACTCTAGACTGGTCTAGTGTACATGGACTTTTGGACATGGTTGGTGTAGGGCGAGCCCTAGCTAGACCGGCACGGATCACGGATCACCTGGCACAGTCTCGCTGTCTCACTGAAGTGTCAGGCTGTCAGCTGCCCAAAATCAAAGAGCAAGGCGATCCAAGTCCAAGACCAAGTGAAAGAGACTACAGACTACAAGAGCACAAATGCGGACTGCACAGGTCTGCAATCATCAGACAGCAAGCAGCGTTAATAGTATTATTATTTTTAGTTTACGTAATTGTACTTGTGTCTGCATGTGTAGGATTTGGCGCGGCAGTTGATACTCGGACTCCAGCTCATTACATAGGTAATGTATTTACATGCTTCAGGTTCTAGATGTGCAATTGTGCATAGAGAGTTACATGACACCATGCAGGCAGGCACAGTGGGTTGGTCTAAGACCATGATTGAGAAACGAAAGGTACCAGGTTCAAGTCCTGCTTGGAAGCGGAAGGATTTTTTCCAACCGTGCTGCGACTCACAGTTAATTGGGAACTCGTGGCCTGGCATGAGTAATACATGGATGTGGCAAATGGGATTGAGGCCTATGGCTGGTGGATCTGATCTATCCTCCCGCACCGTTTAGGAGCCGCATCTGACGCCTGATCATGGGGTGGTGGCGTCCCACGGAAGCGGAAAGGTGGTTCTTGACCAGGGAGTTGTACAACTCCTTGTTCTTGACCTGCCCGGTACGCGAACCCGTCGAATTTATTCATTTTATTTATGTACATGTGGTGTTTCTCGTGCCTTGCTGTAGTCATGTAGTTTGCCGCATGATGTCTGATCTTGAAAAGTGGTGCAAACATGTTGTCGATCTACACTGTCCCAAGACCAGGGAGTAGTACAATACCAATGGTATTGTAGTACAATACCAATGGTATTGTACTACTCCCTGCCCAAGACCAGGGAGTGCTCGATACCCATGTAGGGCTGCCTGATGATCGTAGTAATACAATGTACCAGTACGTGAAACTCAGAGTTGCGACACAGCTTCCAATACAGTGTACTCAGTAATAGGTTTTTCATGAAGATGGCAACAAAGAATTACAGCTTCCAATCTCTCTTGACTTGTGTTGTCGACCTACGTGTACATGTAGAATGTACTTGAAGTATTCCTTAAAGGGGAAGTTAAGGCAAAAATTAAAATTTCACCAGTTGTAGTCTTCGGAGTGCTGAGTCGAATGGTCGTGGTCCGAGGAAGCTGAGACGCTCCCTTCCTACTTGACTCCCAATCGAACTCGCGCACTTCCACCGAAACTGGGTGACTGCGCCCTACTAGATGGGGATTTGTATGCAAAATGTCACTAAAAGCGCCATTTCGTTCTTATAAAAGCACGGATGACCGCGATTGGCCCATATGTTGTAGTCTTTTGGACGCTGAGTCGACTGGTTTTGGTCCGAAAAGGCTGCGATGCGGCGTTCCTCCTTTATTCCCAATCGAACATGGTTGAAGAAGCGGTCACGTGCTCGTGGGTGCCCAAATCACCTGGTCACCACGCCAGCAGGCGACAACTTTCACACCAAGGTTCAACTCGAGTTCAACTCGAGTGACAGGACTGCACCCAAAAAAGGTATAACAGGCTAGTAAGTTGTACCCTGGAGGCACGGTGACCAGGTGACTGGTGTACGCAGGAGCACGTGACCGCTTCTTCAACCATGTTCGATTGGGAATAAAGGAGGAACGCTGCATCGCAGCCTTTTCGGACCAAAACTAATCGACTCAGCGTCCAAAAGACTACAACATATGGGCCAATCGCGGTCATCCATGCTTTTATAAGAACGAAATGGCGCTTTTAGTGACATTTTGCATACAAATCCCCATCTAGTAGGGCACAGTCACCCAGTTTCGGTGGAAGTCCGCGAGTTCGATTGGGATTCAAGTAGGAAGGGAGCGTCTCAGCTTCCTCGGACCACGACCATTCGACTCAGCACCCCGAAGACTACAACTGGTGAGATTTTAATTTTTGCCTTAACTTCCCCTTTAACACCATACCGTGGTCAGATTTCACTGATGCAATTATTATACGTGTACCTGTTGATCAGATTCCGCACCTAGTCCCCCCCCCCACACACACACATACATGTACATGTACAGTTACTAAAGTAACACCAGTTACCTACACAGCACCTCGCAATGCTTTCTTCAACAAACTACTTGATTGGCACCTCTTCGCATCGGGGCTGCTTTATGGGTAACTACACAGCATACTAGCCCCCAGCGTTGTCGTGTAAACGCAGCCTAAGATCCGGCTTTCAACCACCGCCAGCTGAGCTAGCCCTTGGCGGATTCTGCTCGAAAAGGTGGCAGATTCTGCTGGAAAAGCAGTGAAATTGGCAGAACCATACAATTACAAACCTTATCGCGGGCAATTCCTCGAATTCTGCTCCATTTCTTTATCCATATACATGTACATGTACCAAACAGTGCAAACATGCATGAAACTTCTTCACACACAACAGAGGCGAAAGGCTGTGTAAGCTGTAACTTAAAGTTTCACGCATCGGAGCGATCATCAGACAGCAGCATTCACTATCGAATTCTCCACGAGCAGGCCTAGATATCAATTTTGATGCTAGTGTGGAAGTTAGTGCATATGTGCGAAGTGAAGACGTGGCATTGGGACAATGGTATTGAGTTGTTTTGTGAGAGTTAACGGATATAGGTGAGAATAGAGGCGATAACAGGGCAGTGTTACCGAATCATCAAAGGCGATAGCGACAGTAGCGCAAGACCACTTCCATAGCCACTTCTAAGCTAAGCCGTCGCCGTCATTTTATTGGGTCGTCATCCCGTTTGAATGTGCGAAGTGAAATAAAAACCAACCAACCAAACTTACCAGAAAAGAAAAGTACCGAATTCTGCCAATTTTTCTGCCGCCACTAGCCCTTTCCCAAAGATGCCATAATTTTTCGCAACTTATGCTTTTAGCAACCGTGTCCAAACAAGTCCTAGTTGTTGAAATCCCATCCATATTTTCACCAAAAGCTCAAAGGTTGCTGAAATCGCATCCATATTTTCACCAAAAGCCCAAAAGTTGCTGATATCGCAACCTAAAAAATTAATGGAGAGTTCGGGTGCAGAAACCACGAAAAAAAGAAGCAGAAATAGCAGAAGTGCAGCGACTGCAAACTTGTACACCCTTCCTGCTGTGAATCACCACTTTACACAGTGCCAGTAGGCTGTTGCATGTATCCTACATAAATTGATAATTCCATTTCACGGAAAAGGGAATGCACATTGTCGTAACTACCGTTGATCTACCGTTTCCCTGAAATGAGTCTGAAAGCAGGCCCGAAATGAGCGAGTATGCATTTATCTGACATGAAGTCCATGACTTGACATTTTGACCCCATGCCATGAGACCAAGGTTGCGGAAAAGTTGCGACATTATTATTATTATACGCACGTCCGCGTTTACGTCAACAGTAAGTCCACGTATTCGCATGTGCCAGAAGACAGGCAGATTGGGCAGAGAGGAAAACAAAAATAAATAAAAGTAAAAAATAAATGTAAGACAGCAGGCGATAGGCACATAACTCATGTTCGATGATAGGTGCTCAATGCACGGGATCTATTCGAAAGATCAAAAAATAAAACAAGAATAACAGACAACGACGATAGGTTTGTAAGTTGCGACATAGTTCTCGAAAATTGCGATTTCTTCTTAAACAACGAAAAGCTGCGAAAAAAAAATGGCGAGCATCTTTAAGAAAGGACTAGCCGGCACTGATTATCCGCCAAGGCCTAACTCCAGTAGAAACTCACTGCTAAGATTAAGATGATCCTTACCCTGAGAGATTCCTAGGCTCACTGTTTTCTCCACTCCACTTATCCAGGTTATCTTATCTTGACTCTTTAATTTTTTTAACATTCTCCCTTTCCATCGTCATCATAACATTGGGCATGATCACCCGTTTGACTTGCGATGTACAATTATCATGTTCACAGCACCACTCCATTGCGAGGAAGTTCGTTCTTAGGTAGATGTTCCATATCCTCCAGACAGCTGTTTCGCTCATTAGGAGCTCCTCAGTGGAGGCAGATAACGAATGAGTAGCAGATAAAGGAATGAGTATCTTTGTAGTACACCTTTAACGTCTTCGGGTCTGCCACTTTGCTACGTAGAAAGTGAGCAATTTCGCCACTTCACCCTACAAATATACGCATTCCTTTATCGGCTATTCATTC